TTTCAGCCCGCTGATTACAAAGCTTGTGACCTGGCTCCCAGTGAATGTATCTTTTCTGAGTATTAACTAGTAGGGTCCTTGTAGCTAGCCTGCAAGAGATGAAAATGACTCAGCACAGAGAACAACAACCTTCCCGCACCTCCTTATAATCCAAGAGTTGAAGGAGCTTGTGCTGCTGTACTGTTCTCCAATGACTTGCTCTGGGAATAAGCAGAGAATATAATTTCTCGGTCTTTCCTTTCACAAAATGTGTAATTTTTATGCATTTGTGTTGAAGTACCTCCAGTAAGAGGCCAGGGTGTATGTGATAGTCATTTTATTATGCAGAATGAAAAGGTTTTCTACTCTAGCCTTTACTATCTGAATAAAGAGAATTACATAAGGCATAAGAGAACTAAGCATAGGAGAATCAAATTTGAATTAAGTATCTATTAACCCCCACCTCCCTCTCGAAAAAAGCCCAACAACTTGCAAACCAACTGATCAGCTACAAAATGCGGATGCCATAGCGATAAGGATTCAGTTGCTCCCTTCTGAGGCAGCTGTTACACAGTACCAGGCAGAGGAATTTTTTTTTTAATGTGAACTTTCTGTTGCAGTAAACTCTTAAGTGACTAAATTATGTAAATATTTAAGTGAATTGAGCTTTACTGGCAGACATGTAATTGTTGAATTGTTGAGATTTTTTCTTATCTACATTCATACAATTGTGTGAAAAAACAGTTATAGTGCAGGTAGCTCTTTTCTTTTTTGAAAGAGGGAGTATTAAGGGAAAATTGTAAGGAATTCAAACTATTAAGGTAACATTTTTATTCCATTTTGGCTTTTAGGAATTCAGTCTTTCAAATACAATACAAGTCCCTGATTATTTTTATCTGGCCTTTTGGCAACATTTAACCAGATTTTTCTAGCTATGTTGTACTTAAAATCAGTGGGAAATGTTTTTGTTTGCACTGTCTAATATTTATGGAAAAAAAATTACAGCATTCTTGGAAGAACAGTGAACTTTCTATAGTATTTTACACCCAGGAAAAAACAAAAGGAAAAGGAAAGTTTTTATATCATTAAAGCTTTTGGTTTAGGATACTTTTATATGAAGTTGGCTCAGGTCACCAGGATTTATTGTTGATTTTGTTATTCTGCATGAACAGATGGGCAAATTGAGGTGGCTGTGGCAGCAAAGAGCTGAAGTAGCCATTGATGGGACAAACTTGGCTCACCAGAGCATGGCCCAGAGCAGGGCTGGAGTAGAGCCCGATGCTCTCTGTTGCCCTACCTGGTGTCTGTGCTAGGCAGAGCACTGACCTGGCTGGGCAGCTGGATGCTAGCTCCTCCATCCCCGCGTTGTAGTCTGTTGACCTTTATAGGCATGCCTTTAGATGTGCTATTCTTCAGATCGTCTGGGACTCACTCTCCCATGTTCAGCTAGACATCTTCAGCTTCTAATTTAGTCCAAGGACATAAAGAATGGATGCTACCGGGTCGCATGGAAGAATGACACCATGAAAATAACGATCAGCTAATATTTGTATTTTATTTTTGACTTATTTCCTGCTGTTTCCCTGCAGCTGCTGACGTTATCACAGCTTCCTTTCTAGTTGCTTCGCTTAAAGTATACATACATTGTGCATCTGCATGCCAGAGCATCTGGGTGTGGACTTGTCGTATTTGCTTATGAATAAAGCAGCATCAGCTCAAACGCCCTGAGACCAAGAACTGTGAGAAGGTTGCAGAAAGACTTTTCTGTGAGGCTTTTTCTTCTTCTGTGAACACAGCCCTGAGAATGTCAGTGCTCTGCAGCCTGTATTCTTGACCCATGTGCCTGCAGCATGGGCAGGCAGACATTTTCCTTGACAGGCAGGCAATAGACAGTGGACTTCAGTCTTGACCCAAACGCTAAATGTCTCTTGTCCACTACTTCACAGCAAAAGATTGAGCCAGCATTTGTCCCCTGTGGTATTTAATGTCTGAACGAGTCATTTGTCAGGAGTTACTGTCTTTATATGTACTGAAAGGGAGGGCAGGGCCTTCAGATAATAGTGCAGGATGCTGTCCCTTGAGGTGTCATGTGATTTCTTGCTCTCTCCTTTCTATTTTTAATTTCCCTTTGAAGCAAGTTTATTGAGGCATGCAGGACTGAAAGAAATATTTCTAAATGCAACAGACAATAACTCAGCTTCCTTCTTTCTTGCCCTATTCATGTACTGACCAGACACCCTTTGTCTTCTTAATTTCCAGTCTCCTCCACCATACTCCATTTGCTTCCTGTATTTCTTTGGCTTATAATAACACCACAAAAACCATCCAATTACTCATTTAGGCTTGTTGTTTCCTTTGCTTTCCTGAGGGGTAGCCAGTTCTCATAAGTTATCCCTGGACAGGTAAATTTCAGCACATACTGTATTGAAATCAAGGGTTAGGCATTATAAGGGGGGGTCCCAGTCTTTCATGAGCTTTGCAAATGTGTAATTAGGAATGATTTTTTTTTTTTTTTTTTTTTTTTTTTTTTTTTTTCCCCTGCTGGGCATTTGCTGGAGTTGGGGAAAAAGATAAAGTTTGTCAGAAGCTAACTTTCTGTGTGTTTATTTTTCCGTTATCTTTTTACTGCCTGAGGGTACAACAGAACTGAAATTGTTACACAGCAATGCATGTTGTGGCTCAGTCCTGGTGTCACATCATAATTTTTGTCACAACATTATGTCCAATGACAGATGAGGCATAAATGATCCATATTTTGCTCAAAGTGTCTTGTTCTTGGCACATTTGTGTGAATGTTTTTTAAAGATACTGTAGATCTCTCTAGTGAGGGAGTTCTAGTTCTACTTCAGTGGCATTACGAGGTCCTGGCTGTAGTAAAAGCACCCAAAAGGCAGGGTTTTGACCACTGTCCATCTGGGATCTCGGAATTTCACATGAAATGTCTGTTAGATGTTTGTACGAGTCAGTTCTCCTTCTGACTCACTGTGTAGTATTTGGTACCCACAGCTTCCTTCAGCAGAGTATATACATGACAGACCCACTCTTATAGACTCTATATGGTGCCCTGTGTGGCTTTCTCTAAGTGTAATATGCATAGGTGTTCTATTTAAACTTCTCTTTGTTTTCTGCTTCTCCTAGGTATTACGACAACTTTACCCAGTGCACAGAACGTGAAGCCAACAACGCAAGTTGCTTTTGGCCAAACCCACTCGCAGAGGGCTTTATCACTGGAATTCATAAACAATTCTTTTCTAACTGTACTTCAGAAAAGGTTCACTGGGAAGATCCACCAGACGAAATTCTCATAACTCTAATCTTGATCCCAGTCACGTTGACGTGTGCCATGATAACACTGGTAGTATGGTGCAGCAAGAGAAGCGATATCCTGGTCTAAGTTGTTCCTCTGGGTTTTCTTTTTCTTCATTTCCTTCTTCCAAAAACACTAAGAAAGGAGGTCAAAGAGAGAAGCTTGACATAAAGACTTCAGATCTGGTGAAACGAAACCTGTGAGATACTGAGACAGAGACAGTGCTCCTGTGAACAAAGAACTGCCTACTGCTGCTGCAAGTCACTGCTGCTGAGTTTGACCATCGGTGTTGCTGGTGCAAAGCTCTCTACTTCCATGGGGCCTCATCATCATGGAATTCACAGGCAACTCCCTGAAACAGGAGAATCCCCAGGCAAGCAGACCCCTTAGCTGCAAAAGGGGTCAAGTTAATTTCCTGTGGGTAAAGCTGGTTGGTAAGTGAAGTTTTGCAAAACGGTATGTAAGTGTATGTACGCGTGGTGTAACATGGACTGCTGGGGAGATGGTGCCTCTGGAGATTTTGTGCAGGACACTTGAGGTTTTCATCTGTGAACCCTGTGACTTCCTGGCAAAGGAGCTGAACATGGATATAACCAAATGGCAGCTTTTCCTGGAAGCTAGTAAAAAATATCATTTTCAAGAACTGGAAGTATTGTCCTGGCAAAGGAACAATTTGTGTCCAGTGAATAGTCCCACAGGGAAATTATCATACCACATTATAAAATAGTTTATTAAATGCCTTTAAGCATGGCTACTTGGAATTGTATGACTTACAAACAAACTCTGGGAAGATATACAGGTATTATTTTACAGAGCTGGAGAATGTGAGGGAAAATTGGTTGATTATAAATATACTAAGGAGTAATGAAGAAACTTACATATGCCAGACTCCTTATTTTTCCTCTTTTATAATTATTATTCTTGATGACTTGTGTTCACTGTATACTCCCTGCTCTCACTTCAATTTGTGCAAGTGATGCCCTACAAATAAAGGTGTTGCGTTGATCGAGGTGCCTTTCAGAATATAATTTTGTACATAAATAATTCTTCGTCCTGTGAAGAGTGTGGGAAGTATGGACATCAAAGCTTGGAATAGACACAGGAGGAAAGAGAAAAAATTCTACTTGGAAATCTTATTCTATAAAGCTATTCCTGTGTAACAGTTTAAATAAAGATCATATGCCCAAAAAAACCAACTTCTATTTTTGTGTTGTAAATCTTTCCTTTGTGTCATTTCACAAACTCCTTTTCTGTTAAATGCTCGTCTATTGTAAGTGAGCAGTATCTGTTACAAGTAACTCTTCATTTTTCAATACCTTATGCACACAAATAAAATACAGGTTGAATGGCCAAGTAATGGTGTTTCATTTCTCTGTTAGATTTTCTCCTTTAAGATTCTGGCCCAGTGTTTGAGACTTAGGTCTGTGTATATGAGAAGCCTTTCCAGGCTTGAATTGAATCGGAAGTGCCCCCTTACTAGAATTGTTTACATGTAGATGGATGAATAACACCTGTAGCTGTACTGGTTTGTTTTCGTATCATTTCACAAGGGTTGAAGGCACCAGCTTGGTTTTCATTACCCTAATGTTACAATGATTCACTTTTTAAGGTGTTTCCTTTTTCATTCTCTAGATGCTACCAGAAAATTGCTTTATGTAAAAGAATAATGACATATTTACTAAGGGTTTTGGTTTAGTTTTCTACTTAACTATTATTTTCTGCATTAAAATGTTTTAGTCCACTAAAACTAGTGGTGGATTAAAAAGACCAACCCATTCATTTGATCCAAAAGATTGTTTGATTAAGCATCTTGTGTGACCAAAACCAAATAATTTATTTTCTGCATGGAGTTTCATTTTAAACCTCATTTTACTTTAAATTTTAGCAAGCTTCAAAGAAAGTTTCAAAACTTTAGTTTGGAAGCCACCTAGCAAACATTTTGACTTTTTCAAAAACATGTTTCTTTCAATCCAATTGCTGTATTTGCTGCAAATTCTTGGCCAATTCTGGCTCATTTGAAATTGTGTTCACCTCATCAACAGGTCAGCTGAGAGGTATCAACCAGCTTAATTCAATGGAAAACAGATTGGCCTGGGTACTAAATGGAGAAGAAAACTGTCACCTTCATGACATCATACTACTTAATGTGTGCTGTGGTCTTTAAACAAATGCCATGTTTAAATGGATTCTGTTTAATTTGAAGATAAAAACTAGTGTGAACTTCTCAGAGAGTCTAAGAAATGAAAGATAGTGGATTTTCCTTTGTGTGTGGTGGTGGAGGGAAGGGTTCTGTCACTGCTGTGTGCTTTTGATGTGAAAATTTAATCTTTTTTATGTGTCTTCTCCATCCAAAGTGTGATCTTCCACTATACATTTTTTTATGTGCTTGATAGAAGGGCAGAGAAGTTGAAACACTGCGTGGGAAACAGCACTGCTAATTTAATGCAGCCTCAGTGGTTAAATCTGGAGAAACATTTGTAGTATTTTAAGGAAAAAAGGAACTGCGGAGTCCAGTTCTTAACAGCTGTGTATATTAATAGGGAACCAGAATGGTAACTGTTGGATCTTTCGACATTACTTGGACTATATGTTACTGAGAGTTAGTGGTTACTTGCTACTGCATGGAGCTTGCTACCTTTCCCCCAAAGCCTCTTTCCATTGCCAAGAAAATCACATCTGGGACCAAGAATCTGACTCGTTCTGTAATTGCAAATTAGTTCTATGTTACAACAGAGTCTCAGAGGAAAATAGGCAGAGATTCAAAAAAAAAATTAGCTGGTTCAAAATCCTTCCTAGAACTGGAAGGTGGTTGATCCCAAGCAATGCTTGGGACAGAAGAGAAGTGAGAGGCTTGCTAATCAGCTAGCTAACATGGCTTGATTCATAGAAGCATGGAATCACAGAACGGTTTGGGTTGGAAGGGACCTTAAAGACCACCTAGTTCCAACCCCCTGCCATGGGCAGGGACACCTTCCACTAGATCAGGTTGCTCAAAGCCCTGTCCAGCCTGGCCTTGAACACTACCAGGGAGGGGGCAGCCACAGCTTCTCTGGGCAACCTGGTCCAGTGTCTCACCACCCTCACAGTGAAGAATTTCTTCTTATATCTAATCTAAATCTACCTCTCTCAGTTTGAAACCATTACCCCTCATCTTATTGCTATATCCCCTAATCAAAGAGTCCCTCCCCACCTTTCCTGTAGCCCCCTTGAAGTACTGGAAGGGCACTCTAAGGTCTCCCTGGAGCCTTCTTTTCTCCAGGCTGAACAAGCCCAAGTCTCTCAGCTTGTCCTTACAGGGGAGGTGCTCCAGCCCCCTAAGCATCTTCGTGGCCTTCTCTCGACCTGCTGTAACAGATCCATGTCCTTCTTATGTTGGGGGCCTCAGAGCTGGATGCAGCACTGCAGATAGGGTCTCACCAGAGCAAAGCGGAGGGGGAGAACCACCTCCCTCAACCTCCTGGCCACGCTGCTCTTGACGCAGCCCAGGACGTGATTTGCTTTCTGGGCTGTGAGCACACATCGCTGGCTCACATTTAGTTTTTCATCCACCAGCATCCCCAAGTCCTCCGCACAGCTACTTTCAATCCACTCATCCCCCAGCCTGTATTTGTTTTGGGATTGCCGCAACCCAGGTTCAGGACCTTGCACTTGGCCTTGTTGAACTTCATGAAGTTCACAGGCAGATTTGCTGTGGGTGTGGGAATTTTTGCATTCAGGAACAACTGGAAATGTGTGTATTTCCATGAAGTAAAAGAGCTCAAGCAAAGAATTGACAGAAGAAGATGATGATTAGCAGGACCGAGACAAAGACTGAGAGGGGTGCCGTCTCCTTCAGGAAATATCAAGGATAAAGGCCAAAGGAGGAAAAGAGCTACAGAAACAGAGGGGAAAAGATGGTCAAGAACACAAAACCATTCAGGACTTCTTGCCAAGAAGACG